GGGGGGGGGGGGGTTAGCTATTCTGCCCTGACTACTGGAATCCTACCTAAAAACTCAATCGACCAGTACGCAGTGATCCAGTAGCAGGCTTAGCAACTGGCTCTCTGGACAACAAATCCATAAACTGGTCATACCGACAGATTTCATGAAGCAAACACAGTAAAACTTTTTAAATTTAGTTTCCAATTACAGCTGACATACAACATTATATCAGTTCCAGGTATACAACACAGTGGTTCGACATTTATAGAACTTACAAAGGGATCACCCCGACAAACCCAGCACCCATCTGACACCACACGTAGTTATTACAATATTATTAATTATACTCCCCGGGCTGTACTTTACATCCCCGGACTATTTTTATAACTCGCAATTTGTGCTTCTTGATCCTTTCACCTTTCCACCCATCCCTCCAACTCCCATCTGGCGACCAGAGTTTCTGTTTGTTCGGTTTGGTTTTTTAGATTCACCATCTAAAGTGAAATCACATGGCACTTGCCTTTCTCTTCCCGCCTCAAGTTAGCATAATACCCTGTGGGCCCATCGATACTGTCACGAACGGTAAGATCTCACTCTTTTTCATGGCTGAGTAATATTCCACTGTATACATGTACCATATCCTTTTTATCTGTTCGTCTATCGATGGACGCTTAGGTTGCTTCCATATCTTAACTATTCTAAATAAATACAGTAAAGTTTTAACTGGTTAAATCCAGGTTGGGGTGCTTGGGTGTCCCCAGAAAAGGTCTTTCACCTCTGCTACACGTTTAAAATTGTTCATAATAAAATGTTGCAAAAAAAGCAAACAATCATGTGGCCTAAAGTTACAGAGTCAGAAAATGCCACCAACAGGGTAAGACAATGTTTTTATAAACTGAAAGGGAAAAGCTTCTATTGATCTATAAAAATTACTGTGTGTTGAAGTGCACTGCCCTGGCTCTTACCAGTATCTTCTCCTTTGCACACACGTATTCCGTACAACCAGTATCGGATCAAGATGTGAGAGAGCTCCAGCGTCCTAAAAGGCTCCCACACGCCCTTCCCAGTTGGCACCGCAGATCCCCAGCCCCAGGCCAGGCAAAGGGAGCTCCATCTGCCTCTCTAGCCATTGCCTGGTTCTGCCTGTCCTGACAGTCACATAGATAGAATCGTACAGCATACACGCTGCTGGGTCTGGCTCCTTTGGTTCATTATTACGTCTGTGAAATTCCTTCATGTTGTTGGACAGATCCAGTCTTAAATCAAACACTCAAAACATCATAAAACTTCACATAAACTTCAAAAAACGTACTTCACTTGTTGAACCTAATGCCTTTTTATTTCGGCCCGTTACTAAAAATATTTTCAATCTATACCATGTCACTTTCTGGGATTAAAACTTATTTTTCTAGCTAAAATTTGTTCAGCATTCTAAGGGTCATCGCTCATTCGTAGTTTAAAAGATCGATGTGCTGCTGGTCTGGGCTAAAAGTACAGAAAATTGAACTAAAATCCTTCAGAGTTGGTTTTTAAATACATTTAACCTATATTCTTATGAGACGGTTCATTCCTCACAGCTGAGGGTCGGGAAAGAAGCTAATTAAAGATCCAGGCCAGCTGCATTCCAGACAATCAAGTTTCACTGGAAGTATTTGATGAAAAATCTGGTCTAGAAAACGCAGCTTCCTGGGGAAAGACTGGGAGGGCCAGAGGGAAACCGCGGTCAACATTTTTAAATGAATTGTAACTAAGAATTGAAAAGCAAAAGGCTTCCTTCATCTTGAGGGGCAAACTAAAGATCTGAAAGGCCCGAACCGCCGTCTGCCTAGATCCCTGCTCGCTAAGACTTGGCGTCGTGGCCAAGTCCCTCCGCGTGTTCGGGCGTCGCAGGCTTCGCTTACCATTCATCAGGTCCAAGATGAAGCAGAGTTTATCTGGCGTGTGGAAGGCGTAGGTCATGCAGACAATGAAAGGACAATCCTAAAGTGCAAAAAAAAAAACAACACAGAAATATGTCAGAAAAGCAAAAGCTTCCCCGAAAAGCACACCTGCTACCGAACATCACCTACAGATCTCTGCATCCACGCCACTGGCCCTCGTGCTGAGCGCAGACACCGGCGCGGTAACTTGGACAGTCACAGGAAACGGGACCTGGTTAGGGGACAAACTGCACAGAGGCACAGCGTTACCGAACGGAGCAGATGAACTAGCTCCAGGGTCCCCTCTCACTCAGACTCAATCGTCACTCTTCCATCTACATATTCCTCAAAAGACTTGGATTCTGCAGGAGAGTATTGCTGCCTTGCTAGCCTTCTTGTTGGTCTACATTTTGGTTCTGGTGGGTCAACTATCCATTTCCATCTCCGATTCTGAAGCTGGCACAACCACAGCACAGGGGGGAAAATGTTATCTCTATTATTGCCTCGAAACACTGAGAATGAAAGGGAAATTCAATTAGCTCTGAAAGTGAACAAATAAACCCGGGGCGAGGACTGGATAACTCAGTTGTAACGGTGTCAATTTTCCCCAAATTATTCTCAAAATTCCACGCGATCTTAATTAAGAACGGAAATTGACAAGCTGATTCTAAAATGTATACGGTAACGCAGACAGCCAAGAAAAGTTTATATACTTTTTAAAGAAAACTCGTAGTGCCAGAGGTCAAGACTGATAAGGCAACGGTAATTCAGACAGTGTGGTATTAACCCACGGACAGGCAACAGGCCAGTGGAACAGAGGAGAGGATCCTGACACAGATGCACAACATAAACGGTCGACTGATTTGTGATAAAGTGACGCAGCGGAGGAGAGGGAAAGGTGACCCGTCCAGTCAATGGTGCTGCGGCCGCCGGATTTCTGTCAATGGAATGGGAACCATCACCCCTACCTCACGCCACACGGAAGTCCACTCTAAGCAGATACAGATCTAAAGGTAAAACAATAAAGCTTCCAGAAGAAAACAAAAGACAGTACCTTCGTGAACTTAGGGCGAGGAAAGATTTCTTCAACACGACACAAAAAGCACTAGCAATAAAACACCGACAAACTGGACCAAAATCAAAGAACGAACTTCGGTTCTTCCGAAAACACCGTTAAGAGAGTGAAAAGGGAAGTCACAGGACGGGAGAAAATATTTGTAATCCTTAAACGCAATAAGGATTCTTATTTAGAATATATAAAGAACTCTTGTATATCAACAAAGAAAAAAAGCGATCAACACAAAAGAAAAGTGGGCAGGAATAATAATAATAGCAATCAATATTAATGATGAAACGGGCACTTCACAGAAGAGGCTATCAACTGGCCTACACGCCTGGGAACAGATGCTGAACCTCAGTTGTCCCCGAGGAAACACAAATTAAAATCGCAACATGCCATCCCCTGAACTCCCAAGAATTGGCTAAAATGAAAAAGGCCGACAATACCAAGTGTTGGAGGGGTTGGAGTAAGTGAAGCCTCCATGTGTGGCTGCAAGGAGTTTACAACGGTGGGACCACTCGCATAAGCTGTGGGATGGCATCTGCTAAAGCTGGGCACCACCTGCAAACCCCATGACCCAGCATTCCCACCCCGGGAATCTGCACTTGGTGCACCCAGAGCACTGCACGAATACGTTCCTCACAACACTAGTCAAAACAGCCCTACCCAGCAAATAACCCCATGTGTCTCCCACATGAGAACGGACCCCTACCCTGTGGTCTATTGATGCAATGGAATACCAGAGAAAAGGGCCAGTGAGTTTTTTCTGCAAAGGGCTAGACAGTAAATACTTTAGGCTTTGCAGGCCCCACAGAGCCTCTTTCGTACAGTCTCTGCTTATTTTCTTTAAAAAACATCCTTTAAAAAACATCAAAACCATTCTTAGTACATGAGCTATACAAAAAAAGGCCGCGAGCCAGATCTGGCCCAGAGGCTATACATAGCGTGCTGACCCCTGTGTTTAGCTACGGAATGCACTATGGCCAGGCGCAGTGACACGGATGACTGTCACAAGTGACGCTGAGCGAGAGGAGCCGGACACAAAAGAGAACATTTATATAAAGTTCAAACACAGGCAGGGCTAAATTATGGTGTTAGAATCTGGGCGGTAGTTAGTTGGGCGTGGGGTAAGTGGCTGAGGGGGCACAGGAGGCCTCTGGAACACCGGTAACTTCCTTTTGTTTTTTTTTGGCGAATTCTCACCAAGGATACTTTTTCCATTGATTTTTTTCTTTAGAAAGAGTGGGAGTGAGGGGAGAGAGAGAGAGAGAGAGAGAAACATCGATTGGCTGCCTCCTGCACGCACCCTGACCAGGGCCGGGGACTGAGCCTGCAACCCAGGTACGAGCCCTTGACTGGGACTTGAACCTGAGGCCCTTCGGTCCACAGGCTGACGCACTAACTACTGACCCACACCGGCCAGGGCAACGCTGGTAATTTTCTATCTTGAGATCTGGGCGCTGGACACACACATGGGCTCCCTTGTGAAATTTCATTGGTGCTACACTAGATCTATAACCAGGCCTATTTAGGTTCGTTATATACACTGAATACTTGCCACTCGCTTGATTTGAATAAAAAAATGGCATAAAATATCTATGTCCACTTTTTTTTTCTTTTAACAGAAAACAAAAGGAATTACTATATTGAAGTTTCAACAGAATAATCTGAAAACAGAATTCACATTGCCCAAGCCTCTGTATTAAGGGCAGTTAAATTCGAGTCCACACAATCCTATATGCTAAAGATTCGTGACCCTGAACCCGATCTCCACACAAATCTCCTAGAGGAAATTACTTGAGAGTGAATCACAGAATTCATTTGGTGGTTACCTAGTCTACGTCAGAGTTCTGTCGAGATGGTGCTAGTGTCTCCTGGTTTCAAGACCTGTTTGGCTTCCAATCGGTAAAATAAAGATGCCATCACTTTTCTGTTAAAAGCCACGTGACCTTCGGGGCTCGGGGGGGAGCACCGTCCCACTTGGAACCCACTCACGTCTCACCAGGCCTTTCCAACAGCCGGCTGGAGATGGCTCATTCTGCCCCCTCCTAAACGGGGCTCCCCACGTGCTCTGGTCCCTGATCTGGGGAGCATTCGCCTGCCGAGCGGAGAAGCGGGGGGACCCAGAGCCTAGAAAAGCCCACAGCACCCGCACTCACCTGACGAAGGGGACAAGCCGGCCCTGCCCGGGGGTATTTCTGAGCACGATGGTACATGATCCCTCTAACCACAGTGCTCAGAAGACATCCAAAGGTTAAAGGACACTTAAGATCTGATTTGAAGTTTACCCTCATGAGGCAACTTTAAACAGATTACTAAAAACCTATCAACAATGGCCTCTGATCAGCAAAAACAACGCCAGATAATTTTACTACAACTCTTTTGGTTAAATTTTATATTTATAAGTTAAAAAAAACCAAAAACTAGACAGTTCGATATGCGAATAAAAAATATAAACAATTCTTTTAAATTAGTTCAATGCAGAAGCCCAATAAAACCCCAATATTTTATTAATTCCCTTAGGGGTAGACTGGTGAGGAACTAACTCTACAACTAATTAACCGCATTTCCCCCTCAGCGGAAGAAAATAAATATAAAATCACTACATAAAAATTGTACGGATAATCTTTCCAACACCAACAATTGTTTTCCACAGCTTTCTGGAGAATAAATATCCAAGGCTTTGAGATAACGCATTAAAAATTAATGCTTTAATAACCGCTGAAACTCTGCAGCAAGCGCACGTCCATGTGTGAAATTTAAGACAAAGGCATTTCCAAGAGAAATTAGAAACCAGTGCCACTCGGGCTGATCCCACGACAGGGAGCAGGCTGCTCAGTTTCCATTCCAAGCAGCTGAAGGCCTGGTCGTGCACACAGGGCAGTAACTCTTACTTAAGATGCTCCGGGTCCATATGCCAGGAGCTAGAGGCGCATAATTAATTATAGCGATGGCATTTGCATTTGGAAGGGGCGAGCTCAGTTACGATTTCTTTTGCTTCAACAGCAGGCAGCCCTTCTAGCACCATGAAAACTCATGCTAGGATAATATTAACCACAATGCAATAAACACGGGCCATAAACCAAAAAACACGGGGCCCCCATGTAACGTGATGGTGAGAAGGGAGCCCTGGCAGTGATTCAGGGAGGCCAGAGACTGTGCGTGAGAAAATTAACCTCCGGGGTTCTCCAGTTCCTTGCTGATTCATCATTAAAATTTGGCCTGTCTCACTGCGTACAAACCTTCCTGGGTTATGTTTTTGTTTTTAATTCTTTTTAAAATATGTTTTCGTTGGTTTTAGAGAGAGAGGAGAGAGAGAAACAGATGTGAGAGAGAAACATTGATCGGCTGACTCCGCATGGGGCTCAAGCCTGCAATCTGGGTATGTGCCCTGACTGGGAATCGAACCCGTGACCTTTCGGTGCAAGGGACGCCGCCCTGCCGGCTGAGCCACAGCGGCCAGGGCGTGGCTTGGTGTTTAAGGTTAAAATCACATGTGTGAGCTACTTGGCATGGGTCTGGCCATTCATGCTCATTACATTCCTTCCCTTCTAGCCCCCAACTCCCTGCCCTCCTCGAACACTGGACGACAGGCCTACAGGCGCACACACGGGCACACCTGGGTCTTTCTGGATGTGTCTTTATATATACATCTGTCCAAATAAATGAAAGCCAAGGCTTTGATCCTGGGTGACACCATCAACAGAACAAGAAATCAGCCCGGGACGCCGTTTTGCAAGTGAAGACAGGGGTCAAGGTTTGTTTTCATACGTGCTGAGCCAACCAGGCTGGCCTGACACACAAAACGCCCAACTAGGTGGGCACAGAGTCCTGGAAGCAGACGTGACGACCAAAGTCCACAGCGGGTACAGAGCGGCAAGTGCCGAGGAGATCAAGTCACCCTCCAAGGACACACTGGCCGGGGGCGACCCCACAGGGACAATTCAGAACCGACGGACCCCAGCGGCGACCTCTCTGTCTGCGAAGGACGGCAGCGGGGGTCCCTCACTTTCCCCTCCCCGGATTGGTCCCTCTCAGCTGTGCAGTTCATTCTTAACCACACTCAGGTCACTCTGCCGTTGTGGTGGTTGTGGTGGTGATTATTCCCTGCCTTCTCTCCACCACATCCCGCAAAGAAGTTCATCAGGAAGGAGCACTAACGGGAGCAGCCACGGGTGTTCGCGGTGATGGCTGCCAGCACTGTCCCAACTCCCGCATTACACAGAGGTAACGCCTGGACGGTCAACTACGTCAGCTCGGTGCCCCTGCTCCCTGCTGTCACCTCTGGCCCATCACCCACCAGAAAAAATGCCTGCATTTTAAATGAACTGCCCTGATATTAAACACACACACACACACACACAAGCAATGCTCGAAACTGAACACTGCCCTGGCCAGTGTGGCTCAGTTGGTTGAGCATCGGCCCACGGATCAAAAAGTTGCCTGTTCGATTCCCGGTCAAGGCACCGAAAAAAAAGGAAAATAAATTTGAATACAAGACTTACTCCCGTACTAACAAGCGACAGCATAATCCTTTCATTTAAGGCTAAGGTCTCTCCTTGTTTCATCTTGATCCGCTTCTTATCCAGGCACTTCATTGCATACCTAGAAACGCAAATATGGTCGCAAAGTCAACACCCAGCATACACCCAGACGGACTTCAACCACGCACCCCACACCGGGGAAGGTTTCTAAAGCTTCGGGCAGTATTTAAAGGAAGCAAACTGGCACCCAAGTGCCATGCAAAAAAAAAAAAAAAAA